AAGCTGGAGCAAGTAGGTAATCAGGTGCAGCAATTAACTATTACACACGTACCTAAGCAACCTGTAAAGCATTCAACGGCTAAGCCCGGTTGGTCGAAGGAGCTTTTACCCACCACGAGCACTTATCCAGTGCCAGCGGTTTCATTTGACGAGCGTTTAAACATGGACTTAACGTTGAACGCGCGAGTTTCTAAAGACTATTCATTTGAGCTAAAGGTGCGAGATATCTTTAAAGAAGTCCCCATTGTTCATAAGACGGCGAAAGAAGCCCACGAATGGACGACCGGCCCCAACATGCGTTATTGGCCGCAGCAGTTGAACTTTGCGGTTTGGTGTGCTACCAGTGGCTGTGGGGTAAGCGCTAATATGATGAAAGATCCGATATTTATGTTTCACTTTCACTTTACCGTCCGAAGAATACTTTATGAAATGGGTGTTACTGCGCTGCCGGGAGATGCTGCGTTTGATCCGAGAGATAATAGGTATAATGTTCCAGCTTATAATAAAATTTGTGTGGATTTTGGTGTAGTAGGGAGGGATTTTCGATGTACTGCTGGTGCTAACAATGGTTTGGGGCACATTTGGGCTTATTGGGGTATTGGTGGGCATGTGCTAAGTGATAAGGAAGTCCATGCGTTAAATTTAAAATGGACCATGGCTTCGCACAACGAAACCCATTATCAGCTCGAGAATTGGGCGTAGATGTTAACAGGTCCAAAGGGGGAAACGAAAGTAGTGAGGGATGGRCCTTTATTCGAAGATGAGGGTGGTAAATATGGTGGAGCTAATCCGCTGATTATTAAAATGGTTAACGATGAGCATAACAAGCAATACCTTAATTTCATACCCAAAGTAGGTAAGGGGTTAACCAAGGTTGGTCGTGGACGCTTGGACAGTAGCATAGAAGCTTACGTGTATACCATCCTTGGAGCTTAAGTGAACACCCTAAAAAATATAGTTGGGGATAGTGGCACCGCACAGAATTCGCGAGAAGAATCCTTGATTTTATTTGAAACTTCGATTTTGGAGGGTGATATTGACAAGAGTGCAAATCGCTACAAGTTAGCAATAGAAAATGCTAGGCAAAAGCTGGATTATGCAATAGCGCCATATTGCTTGTTAATGCCTAGTAATTTATCCATAAATACTGCTTCCGTAGTAGGATACAACAACCAACTTAAGAGTGCTACGATTGATATGAAGCCTGGAATAAACGACGTAAACCATAAGACCACGAAGGGCATTCCCAACTTTGTCGATAAGCCTAAAAAGATACACTTAAGTTTATTACCGCCTAAGTCGAAACCTAAGTCAAAGCCCGCAGACCCACCAAAGCCATACCGAGCGCCTAAAAAGGAGGAGGAATATGACCA